ACAAATCAGTTCTTTGTATTTTTATGTCAAAACACAAAACCACTGTCTAAGCTTGGGAGAAGTATAGGGATATTCATTTAATTAAGTCATAGCAAATAATGCAAGACCAGGAAGCAAAGTATTGCACAGTAAAACTTTGTTAGAATAAGAATTGCAAGAAGCATCTTCTTGTGTGGGCTCATGTACAAGTCAACTTGATAGAGTGAATAAAATTGATAAGGGACTTGGTTCTTAGGTGTCCGAGATAGATTCGCATGCAGTACCCCATTAATTAGAGATGCTCATGATGAACATTTGGAAATGAGAGAGAAAAGACAGGGTTTTGAAGAGAGAGGACACAATGCTAATGAATGGAACATTCTGGAGCTTAGAATGGCCCTTAGTTGGTCCGGTCAGGATCAGCAGGTGACATTTTTATAATGTCCTTCAATCAAACATTAGGAATAAGTGCGGGATCTAGACTAAGCCATCTGTAAGAAGGGTTGGCGATAGAAGCCATGTTGTAGAAAAGCAGAAACACTGCAGGCATGTGGAGGACTAAGTCACTCCTGGACATCACTGTGTGCCCACAAGCACCACCGTTCTTAAAAATAACTCAGGCTTCTGGTCTATAAGGTTTATTTTTGCCACTTATATCTTACTGCAGTAAACGATGATTTATAAATATTTGTTCTTGATTTTCAAAATAATGTTGACTCAAGCTTATTACTTTATATGAATTGAGTGTTTACACATTTATTGAATTATGAATACCTTTAATAAGCAAGGTATTGGTAAGACATTGGTGAACAGAACAGTCCCTTTTCTCATGGAACTTACAAAAGCATTTGTGGTCAGTGTGGTCAAGTGTAAGTACAGTCAAGCTTAGTATCTGAAAATACACCTTCAATGTGAAGACCACAAAGTATGCTAAGTTAACCTTATAGATTTCTTTCTGCCTGTAATAACAATTGCTACCCCTTTTAAATGGAACTTGATAATCTGATAGTTCTCCATTACCTCCTATAAACTATCAAAAGTTCTGGTCTAACAAATGATATTACTTGGGACAGTCTTTGAAAATGTGGAAGTTACAATAAATTAGATCCTGGAAAAACGAAGCTTTTGAGATAATTTAAAAGTTAAAGTTCTTCCCCCTTTTATATTGAATGCAATAATTAATTAAACACTGAGAACCTATAAATTTTCAGCCAATTTTGAAAGAGATGCATCTTTGCTCTGGAAACTGTTATTGACTATGTCAACGCTGTTGTAATGAAATGCTTCTACTAATTATGTGGTTATTAAATAAATTAAAAAATAAAAATAATAAGTATTTGAGTGTGGAGGGAACAGCCAGGGTTAAATTCATAAATCTAGTATCTTGGTGAGCTTCAGTGAGATGTGATGGGCATGAAAGTTGGTTTGGTAATTTGGCTTAATTTCAAGAGCTCTGAAATGACTGTTTTTCATTTCTTGCCCAGTGTTTTCATATTTTTGTGAGGGAGTCGATTTGGAGACACCCGCACCCCATCATATCCTCAGACTGTCTCCCTGTCTCTCTGGGTGTCCAACTGCAGATACTGCGCCCTGGAATGGTCTGGTTTTGCTTTTTTGTATTGGGCCTTTTCAGTTACGAACTTTGTATCCCTTATTCTTGGAAACTTTTCTCATAAACTTTTTACTATGTTTATTTTGAGAAAGGGTCTCCCTGTAGCCCCAGCTGGCTTGGAAACTGCTATGTAGACCAGGGTGACCTCAGTCTCTCGGAGACTTGCTGGCCTCTGCTTCCTGAGTGCCGGGGTGAAAGCCGTGCACCACCATAAGAAGTCTCACTCTTCTTACTACTTGCCTCCTAATTTTTGTTTCTTTCCTTATTGTATGAGATGCTTCCGGATATTATTAAACAATTTATGAATTTTTATTTTGGTAATTCTGTATTTAATTTTTGAAAAACTATTCTTTACTATTAAAAAACACATACTGTTCTTGCTTTATCTAAGTCCAGTAATTTCTTATTTTTCACTTTGTATTTGAGTTAGCATTTTGTAGATAGTTTTGCTTGCTGTGTTCCTGTTTCTCACTGTATCTGTTTTTTAATTTTACTTTAAGACGGAGGAACTAAAACTTGCTGTCAACTTTGCACTCCATAGTGGTGCCATTAGGCTGGTGGGATTCCTATTAAAATGATTGTTTGGGTAGCGGGCAGAATATTCAGCTATGGGCCTCATGCTGGTATGCAAATGATAATGACTATTACAGCCACTCAAGTCCCTCAGAAAAGAAGCATTTTACTACTTTCCTGGGAGCTGTAAGGTTAATTTCCAATATTCTAGATACAGATTGCAGTTAATAACTGCCTGTTACTTTTTAACTTCACATTTACTCTCTGTCCACTTTAACTTCCATGTTTGGCATATTTGTGGAGCACATCTGCCAGGCTCTTCAGGGGAAACTATCCCTCCACATTCCTGTGCATCTTTATGGTGACTGTGTGCTGGATTATTTTGCATCCGCTAGTCCGGTTGCCATCTTTCATCTACCTTCTGCTGCTCAAACTTGTTGAAATCTCTTGAGTGCTGATGAGGCCTCTCCTCCCGCTCTTTGTCCTTGATTTACTGCTGTACTACTCTGCCTCTCATGTTACTAGGACTAAACAAGAGGAAATGAACTCTCAATGAGATTCATTTACTTTTAATGATTTATTTTCATGGGTGCTGATGATCCAGCACAGGAACTTGTACATGCTTGGCAAGCACTCGACCGCTGCACCCACATCCCCACCTTTCACCTGACTTTATAAGCAAAACTTTTGGGTTATTTTATATAGTAAGCTTGTCAACAATGGCTAATTTCTAAAATGTGAACAACCTTGGATCTGACTTAAGAAACGCTTTGCATATACTTTGTCATAAAACGTAACTTTGAAAATAAATTGTTTACTTCTACAAATCAAGCAAATTATAAGCTCAGTCAATACTGATATACACATTGATATATTTTACTATTCAGAATAGTATTCCACTTTCCTACAGTTGCAGATGGCTCTCATGACGCCCTTTCAGATGAAGCTTAACCTAAATACAGCCAGCCTTCTGAATTTACAACCATAAATCAATTGCAGTTGTTCATGTGCATCGTAAAAATGGAGCCAAGTAATTTTTTAAAAGACTTATGGTCTCTTTTCCCTGGCAAGGTGGCGGAGTACGACCTGACTACTTGCATCGCGCACTTCCTGGATCGGCATTTGGTCTTCCCGCTCCTGGAGTTCCTCTCTCTGAAGGAGATATATAATGAAAAAGAATTATTACAAGGGAAATTGGATCTTCTTAGTGATACAAACATGGTAGACTTTGCTATGGATGTATACAAAAACCTTTATTCTGATGATATCCCTCATGCCTTGAGAGAAAAAAGAACCACAGTTGTTGCACAACTGAAACAGCTTCAGGCAGAAACAGAACCAATTGTGAAGATGTTTGAAGATCCAGAAACCACAAGGCAGATGCAGTCAACCAGGGATGGTCGGATGCTATTTGACTACCTGGCGGACAAGCATGGTTTTAGGCAGGAATATTTAGATACACTCTACAGATATGCAAAGTTTCAATATGAATGTGGAAATTACTCTAAGAACCATACATTTTCTATTCTTTCTGGGATTTAGCAGCTACCTTTGAGAACATATCAATATCAGATTTAATTTTGCATTTCTTTTTAAGCTTATGAACATTGTGTGTAAGAAACTACTAAATTGAAGCTAATTTTACCTTAGATGTATTATATACATTAGTCAAAGAAAAAAATTGTGTTCCTACTTATAACTCTTTTCTTTTTATGTGACTTCATTGACAAACTTTGTCAGGGTGTTCAGCACATTATTCTGATACTGATAGATGATAACTTGCATGTGTAGCCTTCTTTGAAGTGCTTGAAATGTGGATTGCTTCTAAATCTTAAGAAATAGTTGTTTTAAAAATGTGGCTCTTATTTTGTCTTCATGCAGATCTTATACAAATTTAAATTTTTATCTTTTGTCTGATATTCATGATTAACCATCCAAAAATGTTTCCCCTTTTGTTAGCAATCCCTCATCTTAAATGTTGAAGGAACTAGAATGGCTTTTTAGCTTGGAAATCTCAAACACCTTTAATTCACTTTAGACATTGTGGCGATACACAGCTGAGAGTAGAAAGTTGTAAGTTACTGTGGAACTTTGGATTGAGGCTTAACTGTGGGTTGAATTAGAATTGGAATTAAATTTTCCAACCAAGTCTAGAAATGCTGAGCTAGAAACTCTCTTTCATATGCTAGTCCCCCCAGTTGCTTCTTCTGCTTGCTTCAGAATGAGTTTGTGATGACCATTGTTCTCACTTGGTGATTCTGTACTGTTAACTTTATTGCTGTTCAAAGTCATATTGAATGATAGTGTGCTGTGTCTCTTATCTCTGTGTTAACATTTTCAGAAAGTACTTTCATCCTGATGAATTCTCTCTGCATGTATTTTAGGCTCCCAACTGGGCAACACAGGATTCTGGCTTCTATTAAAGAACTGTAAGAACGCTCGTCTTTTCATATTTGAAACTTTTTGTCGTATCCACCAGTGTATCAGCATTAACATGTTAGCAGATAAACTGAATATGACTCCAGAAGAAGCTGAAAGATGGATTGTGAATTTGATTAGAAATGTAAGGTTGGACGCCAAGATTGATTCTAAACTAGGTCATGTGGTTATGGGTAACAACGCAGTGTCACCCTATCAGCAAGTGATTGAAAAGACCAAAAGTCTTTCTTTCAGAAGCCAAATGTTGGCCATGAATATTGAAAAGAAACTTAATCAGAATAGTAGATCAGAGGCTCCCAACTGGGCAACACAGGATTCTGGCTTCTATTAAAGAACTGTAAGAAAGAAGAAAAAAATCGCAGTAACCATTCTGTAAAGGGTGACATATACTTTAGAAACAGTTCACGTTTGGTATAAATTTGGGAGAATTTGAATAAAATTGGCTGTGATTCATTTTTATCTTATGAAATATAATGAAAAAGAATTATTACAAGGGAAATTGGATCTTCTTAGTGATACAAACATGGTAGACTTTGCTATGGATGTATACAAAAACCTTTATTCTGATGATATCCCTCATGCCTTGAGAGAAAAAAGAACCACAGTTGTTGCACAACTGAAACAGCTTCAGGCAGAAACAGAACCAATTGTGAAGATGTTTGAAGATCCAGAAACCACAAGGCAGATGCAGTCAACCAGGGATGGTCGGATGCTATTTGACTACCTGGCGGACAAGCATGGTTTTAGGCAGGAATATTTAGATACACTCTACAGATATGCAAAGTTTCAATATGAATGTGGAAATTACTCAGGAGCAGCAGAATATCTTTACTTTTTTAGAGTATTGGTTCCAGCAACAGATAGGAATGCTTTAAGCTCACTCTGGGGAAAACTGGCCTCTGAAATCTTAATGCAGAATTGGGATGCAGCCATGGAAGACCTTACACGACTAAAAGAGACTATAGACAATAATGTGAGTTACACTTTTCCAGAATGATTCTTTGAAATTTCTATGGTGTTGTCGTGTTTTCTGATAAGGAAAAAAGTAAGAGCCTAAAAGGTTTCATAGTAGGTTTTATTTTGACCTAAATGCAAAATCAATGAGCTAGTTAATTAGTAATACTTAATCTTCTTGAAAACTGTCAGACATTTAGCTGTTAAAGAAAAGAATTTAAGCCTGGCCTGGTGGCGCATGCCTTAACCCCAGCGCTTTGGAGGCAGAGGCAGGCAAATCTCTGTGAGTTCAAGGCTAGCCTGGTCTACATAGTGAGTTCTAGGCCAGGCCAGGCCAGCTGGGGCTACAGGGAGACCCTATCTCAAAAAAGACCAAAAAAAAACAAAGAAAGAAAGAAAAGAATTTCAGCCTTTGCTTTGCTGCTGTCTTCCCTGTACCAGTGAAATGACACTGCCGTTGTTGGTGCTTCCTGTTACTGAAAGTGTTTGCAGAAGATGATGGTTTTCACCCAGTTAATGTCACCCTCGCCCCATGCTAAAGTGATGATAACAAAAGCATGATAGTTAAGGACATCAAAGAGCATGAAGAAAGGATTAGGGGTGGGGGGTCAGACCTTAATCATAATGACTCTAGAATATGACTATTCCTGGCATATGCCTTAGAGTAGTCTACTTTTGCTAACAGTTTTGAAAACAGTGGTGTTTATTCGCTTGTCTATTTTACTACTACATCTATTAATGTTTCCTATGTATACATTTCTTATCTTTAGTCTGTGAGTTCTCCACTCCAGTCCCTTCAACAGCGAACATGGCTCATTCATTGGTCTCTGTTCGTTTTTTTCAACCATCCCAAAGGCCGTGATAATATTATTGATCTCTTCCTTTACCAACCACAGTAAGTTACCTCATTGTGTTATTTTGGTTTTGATTGTCTAAAACCTACTTCTAACATTGGAATTTGTCACCTGTCATTTATTTGCCTTGTGTAGATTTGCTTGTTAATTGAAAGGTTCACAGGCAACTCTTAAAT